TCTTCCGATCGATGCAACACGCACTTACGGACACACACTTCTCCAGTTACAACGAAGTCCAAAAATGGGTGAATGAATGGATCGCCTCGAAAAACACCGCGTTCTACCGTCGTGGGATTGCCTTGTTGCCGGAGAGATGGGAAAAAGTAATAGAAAATGGAGGAAATTACTTTGATTAAGGTATTTATTCATCTTCCCTTCGAAACAAATCGATTTTCGAGACGAAAAAACGATAGGAATTAAGTTTAACACCTAATAAATAAGGGGCTGCTAAATCGATTACCGAAATTGATCGAGGTCGATAGTACAGACTTTTTAAATTCCAAATTCGATAGCAGTGGCGACATCTTTGATTCAGTTCTTACATTATATTATATAATATATATCGTTCTGTCTTACTCAAACGCATACGTCTGTCCTTATCTAACATGTGCCAGCACCATTTTTTTTTGACGCAGTGGAAATGCTTTTACGCATTCCCGGCCCTTCGGGGGAAGGGACCGGAATATGTGGGACTCCTCCTATTTAACGGAGACTACCCACTAAAACCACTGCGGGTGTCCTGTCTCGAGCGCATGTTGGGTCGGGCCGGGATCTTCCCGCTCGGTAGTACTACCGGCCCGATCCATCGCTCATCGCGCGTATCACGCGCGCCTTGTAGCCCAATATTCGACGAAGGGGACACCACCTCCCTTCGCCGCCTTCCTCCTGCGTCCTTTTCACTGCAACGTCAGACCCCCGTCTGACGCCACGGGGGTCGCAGGCGGTCGCCGTGTTGCCAGCACTGAGCACAGACGTGCGGCGCCCGGGGGCCCGGCGACTCTCCCTGGCTCTGCCGAACCCATATGGCTGACGTGGGTAGCGCGCGTCTGCCCCCCAAAGCGTCGGCAGATGCGAGATGCCGTCATCAGGGTAGGGGTGTACCGCTAATCGCGGCAGGGGACCCCCTCCCTGGCCCTCTCACTCGCCTCCATCCTTCATCACGCCTTCCGCGAACACACGGAAGGCGTGGCTCCCCTCGTCGGTGAGCAGCGCCCCGACGATGTTCGTCATAGACAAATCATGACAATCTTGTGTTTCACGGGTTTTCTCCGTGTTCAAATCCATTCTTGGAATGCCAACGTTTCGTGAACCTTGCAGTCCACTTCATCAGGGCGAGG